CTACTCTTTTACCAACGTCACATTATAACGCCCCCACGGCTGAAAAGGCGAGCATGTTTGGTGGGATGGGGATTCGAACCCGCGACCCTCAGATTGCGAGTCGAGGTTTGGATAGTTTAAAGAACAGTATATAAGGGATAGTTGAATGAAATACTGGTGCAGATGATTCAATTCTTCGAAATACCTAGATACATTATAACAAACAATATAAATATTACATTTCGATCAATTAAACTATTATAACAAAATTTCTTTTCAGGAAAAACGTGTTACTTTCTTCTTTTTTTTTTGACACTGAGAGAGATAAACTGTTTATTCGTTGTTTCAACAGACTAGTTTCGGTAACACAGTTGCCATATTAGCCTTGGTTGTGCCATTCCTTCAGTGTGTAAAAAAAATCACTTTTTCACTAAAAATACGCAATAATAAAAATTAAATGCATTTTTTTTAATTCCTGAGGGAAAGAATGTGATTTGTTCTTTTGTACTCAAATTTATAAACAATTTATTTTTAACTGTCACTGTTATTAAGTCTATAACACAAAAAAATACATTTGTAAATTTGGAAGCTCAGAAGGCTAACTTATCTTAAGTATTTCTTTGTACAGAAAAGTAATTGTTCTGTTAAACGTAATGAAGTTATCTACTTTCCGGATACCGTTTAGAATAACCTATTTTAAATTACCCATAATAAAAATCCAATTTCTTTTACAACGCCATTTCTTTTCCTGATAACTCAGTCATATATTTCTCATAAGTTGAAATTTCCAGTTAAATGGATGTTACTATATACTATGTTAGAGTTCATAATAGTATAGCTCCTTTGTTTTAAATTTATTACCTAAGATGCTTTGCACATAAAAAAAACAGTTGAAAATATTTTTAATACTTTTTTATTACAGGAGTTAACAGAAGAATCAAAGAATAATTTTAAACATTTTTAAATCAAGCTTGAAAAAAGAAAACATTTATGTGTGTGAGTTGTTTTGTCCGTCTAATATCGGCAATGGATTGGATAACAGGAAGTAATGAAAATATGAAGGGTTGCATATGGAAATAATATTTCAAGATTCAGTATAATTTATATATATTAAGTCCTTTAGCATCCCTACGTCCTGTGAAGTTGCAGTAACGAAGTAATGACAAATTCCTGAGCAGTTTCATCTATAGCTTGAATAAATCACATTAAAAAAACTGTAAATTGATATGACATGTTAGTTAAATTTATATATATGTACATAGCTTATTTTATTACATTTCCTCATCTATTTTACAACTGAAAATCTTAACCAAGAGATATTGAATAACTTTAACACATTGTACAGCGCCTTATAAGATACGTTCGGTGCAGAGAACTGTATCATACATAGACCAACTGCTAAGAAACAAAAGTACCATTTTCATCTTTTACCATTTTCTAATAAAATCTAAACTCTGTTATACAAATATAGTATTTATAGGACACTATTATTTCCAGCGATGTCAAGATCATAACTAAAGAAATCACTATATATCACATGTTTGTTTCTTTATTTTTAGTGCAAAGATATCCAATGAGCTATCTGCTTTGTGTTCACTGCGGAGAATCGAACGCTTTATATTATAAAACAGAAAAAAAATCAACTTTACTGGTATACAACAATCCCAGTCGACATTTTATAATACAACAACAAATTAAATCTTCACCATAGGCGTCATTCATGTATAATGAACAAGTTGGAAAGACGATTTAAGGTTCAAATTAAGTAAAATAGTAAATATGATGAGTTGACAAATGATATAATACTGGACAATTACTGACTGGTTATGAGGGCACCGTTCATTTTGTTGCCCAAAATCACCAATCAATTACTCTTACATTCTACTATTCTTGATTAATTAGCAATGTTACATAGTATATTTTGTCCATGGACCAGACCAGATGTCGGTACCACCCAGGGTAGCAAAACTTCATTGGTGCCAAATTATTTTTGCCGCTCCTAGAAGTAAGAAAATATGTGATAACCCTTTCAAATGACTAGCTTTATCCCTTTTTTGGCGCATCGCCCATTTTTGCATCTAACCTACATAAAAGCCGATGTGTGTCACGTTACATCACGCTTGATTTCTCGAAATAGGAGGAATCATAAAAGCCAAAATGCATTTATCCAGATAGAATAGTTCGAGTACTAGTGACAGGGATGCAAGGGACCGTGAGGGAGGGTGCCATGAATCCTTATACGTGTAGCGAGAGTTTGTATAATAAGCCTAAAGTAAAGACGTAGTGTGAGATCACCTAGCCTAGAACCAAGTGCATAAAATTTATCATGAAATTGAAAATATCGATTCAATTCTAAACATAAATCGTTTCTGAATTAAACTATTTTCTATTTTTTTAATAATAAAAAAAAACCTCTTTAATCAACGGAGACTCTAAATTAAGAAATCAACAAACATATTCCAGTTTTTTTATCTATACATCTTATTTTATACTTTCAGTACACAGACTAACAACAATATTAGGTTATACTTTTGTTGCTAAGTAACATGGCATTAAAAGCCATAGTTGGAACGTAGTATTACCAAAACGCACTCGCATTTCTATATATTAGAGGTTGTTAATCTAACTGATTTTTACCAATAATTAATATATTATGCCACGAATTCATTTCATGAATAATCTTAATTTTGATTGTCCCATAAAGAAATTTACCGACGTTTGACTGCCTCGACTTTTCTGCCTTATTGTACGTCAAGCTAGATTTCGCAAAATTTATTTATTTCAGTTAGCTATAAAGCCCACTACATTTCATGTTGCCAACTTTTTCATTGTGGGTCGATTACCACCTAATTTGGTGATTTTTTTTGCAAAATTAATTCTAAATATTTTGATACCATATTTTGGTACATATTGTTATCCAGGTTGCCATGGCAACCCCAAATCTTAATGACGTTTTTCAATTTTTGCTCCATTTTTGTACAAATTTCGCTGATTTTAATTTTTTTCAAGAAAATATCACTTAAAACTATAAAGATATCCTTTTGTATGTTTTAGAAGAGATACCAACTGTACCAGACACATTTCAGTGAAATTTAGATGCTTTTTGAGCAATTTGAAATTTTCATGC